ACGCGAGCTTAGCCCTTCAAATCGTCTAGACGTACGCACGGTGGGTATGCAGGATATGTGCTAGCATGAACTGATAGCAAGCGAGTTTTTTAGGAGACATATTATTATGTACAAAATCCCAAAATAATTCGTTTTAGAAAAAATAAATTAACAAAATATTTAAGCACGATCGACGTTATGTGTAACAAGAATTTGTATCAAATCAAATGTTTTCAATAAACACGTCTTTTATGAAAATACATTTTTATTTTTCATACAAAAAAATTGTTAAAAAATTAATTATTTTCTAAGAAGCATTAACATATTTAGATGTGTTTATAATTTTGGGAAACATATTTTTATCAGTCGTATGCATGGTAACGATCAAAGTTTGTTCATACAAATACAAGTAGTATACACACAATTATTAATGAAAGGGAATGTTTGAGTGTGTGTATGTGATTCACTGTTAAGTCAATCCTGAAATTAGTGAAATTTGATATAAAGTAATTTTGTTCCCAAGGATATGTATCTTAAAGTCAAATTTTTAAATTTTTCATTTTAAAAAGAGGATCACAAAAGGATTTTGTTGGTTCACGAAAAACGATTTTTTTTTTATTATTGAGGATTGCCATTGATTACAGAAAATAAAATAGTTAAAAATAAGATATAATCGAAGACCTGTATTTTTATGCTTAGACATTTAGTCAAAACTACCCAAATGAGTGTGTTAAAAATTTAACGGAGTTTAAGACAGGATAAATCAACTGGCATTTAATTTGACATATTGGACGTGTCATACACCGCGCAGAATTAATTAGTATAATAATATAATATAATATAATACTTAACAATATTTAGATAATATACTAATTAAAATATATGCAATTTCACAATACAATTTAAAATGTGAAGGAAGAATTAATATTGATAATGGAAGATAAACACCTAATAGGTTTACTTGTCTCATTATTTGTGGTGAATATTGAATAAAGTGTCTCAATGAAAAACGGAACACAGTATTTCACTGACGACTTAGAAACGTTAAAATTTATTTATGACAGGATGATAGATATGGTATTATATTATTGATATTTATAACACGAAACGTTGTATTTTTTTATTACTAAAAATAATACGACTGAGCGTGCAATAATTCCAGCTCTCCCTAAAGATGTACCAATTCACAATATTTTTTCAATTATATGTATATTTTTGTTGGTGCATAAAATGTCTAATAACGATTACAGTTGGGTGAACTAAAATATTGCTGTCGGCTCTTGGAGCCTCATCGGGTTTACAGATACTTCGTTTGTTGTATCGTGTTCTATTAGCTGAACACAGTTCAACTCTGAAAATTTTTCGGTAGATTATGTGGTTGCAACGTCAAATCAGAACACAATGAATGGCACACTACACGACAGACAATGTAGCTGTGAACCCACAATCCAATTGTATCTCAAATACATAGGTATACGTATACTGATGTGGTATATCGTGCATAGCTTGCAATAATAATATACACCTACCGCTGATAAATGCCACTACACAATATGTTTATTGTAACGGTTCTCACGGCCAACGATCGAAACGATAAAAATAATAATATCGTCGTCAGCACTCAGCGGCGACAAACAGTGCCTTCCGGACAAACGACGTTACGCATTTGTTCAAGTTACCTACATCATATTATATAAACATGTGTATATTATGCGATTTATCAAAACCATCATAATTTGTGCACTATGATTGAGAAATGCATAACATTATTATATCAAATGTGCAGTTTTCTATACATACCAATATTATACCAAAGGTGAATTTCAGTAAAATTGTTTTGAATGGGTTACGTTTCTATAGACTATAGTACGAAATAGGAGTTGCAATCGTTCGATCTTAATATATTATATTATATTAAATAATAATACATTAATAATTCAACTTTAAAAATATCTCGAGTGATTTAAAAATGTTAATACAATCCCGCGAGTAAGGTGTCTTCCACGGTGTTTTAAAATGTTACAATAAATTTGAAACTTGTTTCTGTTGTGATACATAGCCATGTAAGTGCCAATGTGTTTCCCAAAATACCATTGCCACAGTTTCACTTGTTCACCACAGAGAATTGGCGTATTTACAGAATATGAGTACCGGCCGCATTTAAGGCTTTATAAATTATTGAGCAGTTTAGTGAGAAATTAAAGATTAATATTTTAGTTACCTTATACCTATAGGTACCTAAACATAGCAAAAATAATTTTTCCAAACTTCCCCTCTGTACTTTGTCAAAAAAAATTATATTTTATAATACCAACACTGAGTATCGTCTTTACAGATAACTCTAATGATAACGTATCAATGTACCATATAGCACGTTAATAAGCTTTGTGGATTATTGCCTAATGGAAATAAAATCAAATTTAGGCAGAATTCCACATATTATATTGTAAAGTATTTAAAAAATATCACTCATCGTACATTATTTGTGTAATATCATAAGTCATAACATACCAGTAATAATAGCATAATATTTTTTCCCCATGTAAATAGCTCAACGGAATTTGGAAAAATAACGTTAAGCGTGTAACGTAACGTGCGTTAACACGTACAACGTAGTTACCAGTCCGGTAGGTCGTTTATATTGTGCGTTGTCTGGTATAGGCATAATACACAATATACATTGTATTATATATATAACAATGTACATAACAGATTGTGGGTACCTACGACGTGTGCATCTATATCTCCCGTTCTCACAACAACATAGCCGGAGTTTTTTCCCTGCTATTTTTATATATCTACAATAATAATATTATATGCCTAAGTTTATACGCGTGTGCTGATATACATAACACTTATACGTAATGTTTGTCGCTCGAGTACACACTCAAAACAGACAAAAAACTCGCCATGTTTGATATTACTACGCAATCTACCACAAAAAACTAGCGCGGTCACACGATTCGTATACCTACATATTATATTCTACGACACAGCGTACTTTTGTATACCTATATATTTCATTTAAAAAGTAAACACTCTTAATTTCGAAAAGTAAAAGTATTAAAGTATAATATAAGTATAAGTAAGGTTATTGTAAAAGTATAGTTTTCAACAATATCGTTACATAATGAATTTAAATGATGAAAATAATATTCTCAAAAATTTTAGTGTTGGTCCATAGTTTTTGTTAAAATAATTGATTACCGTGTTAAAACTTTAAATAATCACCTTGTGTTAACACTATTCTACCAAAAATGGCACGTCGAGACGACTATTGCTATATAGTATATACGATTATCATTATTATTATTTGTTGTCAAATTCAACAAAATGTCGGAATTGATTATTTGAACGTGTTTCGACAACAGATGGCTTATATTATAGAATTTGATTTAAATAATTATTATAATTATAAGTAGAGTACAATATATTATATTGCGTGTGTGTATTGTACTATTGTGTCATAACTTGTATAATCACCTTTATACACAGCAGTGTGTATAAATTATACGTTTATATAGTCTATACACACTAAAAAGTACCTTATATTATATTATTTATCTTAAATCATAGCTGTAAGTAGTGTAAGTTCAGATAATCGATGACTTAAGCTCATTGTTATGCACTATACATTTTTTCTTGCGGCTTAATAATATTATTATGGTGTATAAGAGCTAGGTACTTATAAATTATAATATATACATTGGAATAACTGTGACGAAAACATATTTATCTTGTACTCGAGAAAGTAAAACGTGTAAAACAGTTAAATTCTAAGAATGTTCTTTTATAAAAAAATCTGTAGATTTTTTTATTATAATAAATCGAATTTTATTGGTAATTAAAAAATTATTTTAAAACTTTAACTGTATGTAATACATATAATATATACTTAAGGGATTCAAGTGCTTATGCATTAGATATACTCTAAAAATACCTGTTATTTTGTTACAGAAAAATCTTTAATGTAATTAAAATATAATCCGCATAATATTATAAAATAAACTAATAATTTATAAATATATCATGATCTAAGAAATAAAGGTATACAATTATACGGGAATAAAGTAAAAATATAACTTTTAGAAAATAAATGTTATAAATTCATAATTTCAATACATTATAGTCTGAGAATTATTTTTAGTGGTATAATAAAATTATCATTAATAATGTTTTAATAATATAAATTTAAATTTAAAACTGGTACACAATTTATAACTAAAAATCTAAAAATGGTAATTATTGAGATTGAACTAAAAATAATAATAAATTTACTTAATTAAATTTACAACAAAACCTTTCAGATAAGAAAGGTATTTTATTATTGAAAATATCATGTTTATACTGACCTAAGAATAGTTATTAAATGTAGAAGTCAATTTTGGAGTATTGTCCAGGTCAGTTTTGATATGACGTCACTGGACTTATGACACGTGCCAATGTCAAACTATATAGGCAATCAAGGTGACTTTAGTCTTTAAGAACTAACTACCAAAATCAAAATTTGCAATTAATTAACTTAGCATTTATTCGTTTTTAACATTTCTATTTAATACATATCATTTACTGCTATATTTTTTTCATTATTTCTTAATGTCTTTATAATTATTTTTATAAGGTCAATATTATAGTTCTTCTTAAACTATTAGCGAAATGCTTATTATTTAATTATAAAGACTAATATGTTTTAAACTTTTCCCAATCGTTTTTTTTTATTGGAATTATTGGACAGAGGTTAAGTAAACTACAATAACGAACTGGGTTTAATCTAAAAAAAATCTTTTGATCTACTAATTAAATATTTATGCTAATAAGTTATGTGAAAAATATTAACTGTATAATTTAATTACATTGATGAGATACTTATAAGATCTAAAAATCTATTTTATCGTATATACATACCCATCCGAAGATTGAAAATTGAGATAGATTATATTTTTTGATATTTATTAACAATAAAGTGTAAACCTATAAAAATTAAAACAAATAAAAATGATATATTATTTATTTTTTTACAGATACAGATTTACCAAATGAATGCCAATTCGCGGATTGTAGTTTTCTTCACTCAAATACTTGCCGAGAACATCGTCTGATCACTGCTTGTTGTTGTAATCAGTTCCTAGCGCATAAAAAGTAAACTTATCATAACTATACATTGTTACAGTTATACATTTTGTTAAACCAAATCAATCAACAAACAAATCAACTTTTTACAAATAAAATTTTTAAATGTTTGACAAATGGATTGATGTTAAGTATCAATAGTCTTTATATTTTAAATCTTCAATATAAAATATTTTAATATTTTATAGATCTTATAACTAATAATAGATATTAGTATTATTATAACTATTAACTACTATATTTATAAATTATAATATTTAAATGAGTAAATTTGTATATAAGTACTTCACTGTATTTTTTTTTAAACTGTAGGTAGTTGATGTTTTTATCGATAGTTTCAATATTTAAAATATCATTATTATGTATAGTGGTACCAAGATGTAATTCATACGGAATATTATTTTCATTACAAAATGTATACTTCTTTATTTTTTACCCTATAACACCACTTGTAGATCATTGGGTATAGGGGAGTCTTGGATACCCATACTTTTGCATTAGTAAACGTATTTTTTACATAATAATTTGCTTTTTTTTACTGAAAATGTTAATGGTATTATACTATATACATAATTTTTACAAAACACTGATTATAATACACATAAATGTCAATAAATAAATATTTTAAAATATTTTTGCAGTTATCCTTTATCATAAATTATAATGTTTTGTATATTTATTAATTATTAATATATTACTATATTAATAGTTTTACAGAACACATATTATTTTGATAGTATTTAACATAGTTTATATTATAAGTTACGAATTTTATAGTATGCATCACATCTATTATCAATTTTAGAATAATTATAATTTATGTATTATAAAATTGATGATACATCTTAACCTAGAATAACTAATTATTTGAATATTAAAAATAACGATAATTGTTAATTATATTTTGATTGAAAGTAAAATTTTATTTTATGTTTTATTCATTTTTATTTTATATTGGGGAATAATAGTATATTATATATTATTTACAATACATTAATTATACTTAAATAATGTCAAATTTCCATGGGATGTCTATGAATGAAAATGTTAAACACCTATAATATTTTATTTTTGTTAAATACTTAATTATTATATTACTAATAATTCATGTAATATTAGATACGTAATTAAATTAACAATTTTACTTTATCTATTACAGCGGTTCTTAACTTGTGATCCGCGGTAGCCTTAATACATAACATACGTCAATACGTGACGTATTGTAAATGAAAGGCATTCTGAAAAAAAGATTGGTAAGAGGGTTCGTGATAACTAAAAATTTTTGATTAGGGGTATGTGATCTACAAAAGGTTAAAAATCGCTGATATATTATAATACTATATACGAGTAATGTATTTTTAGCACATTTCAACTATAGAAATTGAATTATTTAGCACATTAAGTAGTTGATATTTTTTTATTTAATGTACTTAAATTATAAATGAAATATAAGTAAGTAATTGGTAAATTATAAGTTTTATTTGAAATCAAATTTAAATATATAACTATTACTCGCGCACTTTTGAGGATGTGAAATCTATTTACATTGATATTTTATTTGTAACCTATACCTACTACCTATAGTAACTAATCTAACTAAAAAAAATTGTTTCCGGTTTTTATTTTTTATTTTTCAAATTGTATTTTTGAGTTTAGAAAAAAATAAACAGTGAATTTTGTATTATTATTTAATTTCACTTCATTAATATTACATAATTATATACCTATTGGCGTTTGTGTACTTATTCTAACTAACCAGATATTTTTGAATATTATTATACATTTTTTTAGGTATTTTGTTAATTTACTTATAACTTAAAGAAAAAATAGATATATTCAAGACAATGATTTTAGTTTTTAATATTTCTATAAAAGTTATAATTTATCAATTATTAGGTTAATAATATATTAGATATTACTGAGGTTTGGATTTAACGGTAAATGTTTTTTTTTTAAAAAATTTGTTACATTTAATTTCTAAGGTAATTTTTTTTGTGTTTAATTATCTATTAATCATAATACTTTTGTTAATATGTAAGATGCAAATCGATAAAAAATTGCAAAGACGACGAGTTGTTGATGTTATGCTTTATTATCATTTATCACTGTTAGACGTATCGATCAAGTATTCGGCAAATGGCAAAGGTAATTTAGCAATTATCAAAGTATTGATACTACCTTATACTTTATGGATTAAAATGTGTTCTTTATGATTAAATTTAAGGTTGTTTTTCAATAAATGTTTATTTTTTTTCTTCACATTTTAAGTTTTTTTTATATCATTGTTTATATTGCTTTCAAATCTGAACCTATTAGTTTATAGTTACTATAGTTATTAGAATTCATTTCATTAAAAAAAATATTGTAAATGAAAAATCAATTTCACTTTTTTAAATTTTTTATTGAAAGATAATTTTCACTTAATCTCATATAGTTACTATTTAAAATTAGCTTGATAATATCTCTAACTAATCATCCCAACACCTTCTACTTAGGATCCAGTACCTCTATCATATTACCAAATTTTTTCATTCGTATAACAGCTGCAATAATTTACGAATAGTTTTTAAAACAATTTTTGTATTTTTGTTACCTACTGAATTCTAAATTTACAGATATTATTACTAAATTAATAAAAAATAATGCTATTATTTATAAGATTTGTGGCGTCATTTCTATTTGGAGACATTTTAGATTATACACAGTTACACAAACTTGCACAATAATAAACTAAAAAATAAAATTTATAGAATCATTAATGATATATACTTAATACATACCTAAATAATATTTGTATCGTAGTGATTTATTTTGAAAATTTTTTTGTTTGAAATGAAAAAAAATATTTTTGATTATTAAATTTTAAATAAAATACATCTTAATTCTTAATAGTATAAATATTAAATTTTAATAATATAATATTAAGTACCTAAATGTATTGCATATTTTGTATATTATATTTATAAATATTATAGTATGTGACGTATGTTTGTAAATAAAAGCTAAAACGTATGAAAAATCAATAAGTACCTCGTTGATAAATCGAATTGAGTTATAAATATCAAATACGCTATATTTATATTAATGGTGCCGATAATCATCAATAAGATTACTTCAGTAAATTATAAATTGAAGTAATAAATAATAATAATGCAATATATCTTATAGGTAGCATGTTTTAAACTTCTAACAAGAAAATTAAGTTTTTTCTTTAAAATAAAAACATATTTTTAAACTTTTAAAATTATAATTTTATCATAAATTAATAGTTTATGAATCCCATTGGTTGATAATAAATATACTTCATAAAATAATTTTCTATTAATGTTATGAATTTGGAAATCTTAAGAAATAATATTTAATGAGTGAATTACTATGTAAAAAATAACAATCAATAGTGAGTTCAAAGTTATGACTTATGAGTTATGAATTAGGTAGCTTATAGAAAATATCATTGAAGAATATAGTAAAATATTAAGTTTTATTTATAAAATATTGACAATGGTGCAGTTATTATCTGATGAAAATATTAATGTTTTACTGTTCTGATAGTTAGAATAAAAGTAACCTAACCTATTAACTGAAATTAAAAGATCTTGGTAACAAAATAATAATAATATTTTTAAATCATAATTAATTGATAATGATTTATACAATATGACAGTACCTTTAATTTGTATCTATATATACATATTACTGTATGTATACTATGTATACTTCATTAATTATTGAAAGTTGAGAAGAGAAATGTTGGAACTGTCCAGACACATAATTGCATTTAATGATATTCATAAACCACTGTGTACTCGTATAATACAAATTAAAATGAGAGTTGGTATACGTTTGATTTTTAAAAATAATTTAATGATATATTTATTAAATTATGATAGTTTAAAATATTTTATTAATACAATTAAAATCAATAAAAATTTATACATATTTCTATAAACGTAAAAAGAATATTTTTGCTTTTTTTTATTAATTAATAATTATTTTAAAGTATTAATAATTCTAAAAAATAATTAACATTACATAATCTATATATTTATGTTTATAACTTTTAATTACTTATGTAAGTAATTTTTAAAATAAAAATTAATATAGTTATCAACTTATCACAATAATATAAATTAATAATGAAATATGTAGAGTGGTTTATGATATTATGTCAACTCTAAGGTGCTATATTTTCAAAAGGAAAAACACTATTTTGAATACACTATTTTCTTAAAACAATGGGTGAAGTAAAATATATATATAATTTACCTGCCTAAATATTGAATATTAATACGCAATAACTAGTATATGGGCATAAATGTATTATTATTTATTATAATTTAAAATAATAATTATTTATTTGTAGTATAATTTATACAGTTATTTTTCCTGAAACTCGCTTCTAACATTGCCATTTTAGGTGAATTTATTAAAATGACGTAATTTCAGATTGTAATATAATACCACATGCTAATAATAAAAGTGCATAATATTAATTTTTTTTATATATAATCTTAAAATATGAAAAAAAAAATTTAACAATGATCAATTATATATGATACAACATATCTATGTATCATAACGTGTAAACTATATTATTTTATATTGGAAGTTTAATCCGATGCGAAATCTCATTTAAAAAAAAAATTAAAAAAATGATATTTCAAACTAACTATAACTTTCTATGAAATGTAGTGATAATAATATTATATATTATACATTATACAGCTAAGTAAAGGTATAATATACTGATACGACTATATTTTCGAAATTATTGCATAAACTACAAATAAAAACAGACCATTGGGGTTTATTACTTAATTTATGTATCGTAAATGTTTAATCACTTTTATAAAAATATATGATACGTATATTACTACTTGTTGGTAATATTTTATACGTGAAACACGCCGTTTTTATCATCTTTCAGTAGTACAACAAAAGTTGGCCATATGCAAGTTTTTATGCCAAAGTTTTAATGCAAATAAAATCTATGTTTAGCTTACTGTGAACACGTGTTATTTAGTATTTGTTCATACATTTTATTTTTAACCAATATTATGTTTCTTATTCGATTAAGACGTCGTAGTCAAAAGTGAGATTTATAAATAAAATGGTGGTATTTTCAAGTAGTTGGAGATTACGTTATTACCGATTTTATAGAGA